GACGACCCAGTTTCTGAACTTCCCCTTTGAGATCCCCATCCCTTTAAATTAGTAACCTGCACAGGTGTCATGTGCAACAAAGGTACTATCGTTATCAATATGGCACAGATCTAATAAATGAATGATACGTATTGAAATGATCATTCAATGTTTTACGTTTTTGCTTTTATTATCTGATAAATAACTCTAACATAACGATTTGAACCATCAACAGCAATGGAACAAGCCTGTGGTGGGGATGAGACTCCATCTTCCTCAGGTATAATGTCTTCTAACTTGAATTAAAATTTCCTGCCTATTATTATAATTATTATTATTATTATCATTATTTCAGTTGATGTTGTTGTTCTTCCTCTTGAAACTTCATTCATGAAAAAATATGAAATTAAGTCGTAGACAGCCGCTTCATTCACAATATCAGTACTGAAGTTATGACTTCAACCGCTTTTTACAACTGTTCCTAAAAATCGCCAACTACTTTGCAAGAAATAAAGTAGTAGGAATGAATAAAAGAACTTGAAAGTATTCGATCAAATCAACTGTCTTTTGCAAAAGTATGACTTCAACAGACTATCTCATGCGCACAAAATCGCAGATGTAAAACAATGCGAGCTGTATGACAAGTTTAACCAAGTTTTAACTCAACTGAGTAATCTATCGTGCTAGAAGTTGTTAAGTTTATGCGCATTCAATGCGGAAACTAAGCTGTACAGTAAACTTTATCGAAAGTATTTTATGTTTGTTTATTTGTTTTTTTTTTTAAGATTTCGTATCTGAATTACGTCATACGAATATTATTTTCTGTAAAATTCATTTGAAGAATAAACGAACCACAAAAGTTATGACATGTTTCACTCTACTTGTTGTTTGAAACAGATTATGAGGATGATTTTGATATCAGACCAGCCACTAAAAAGACTGTGGAAGGTAAAGAACTTTTTGTAGGAAACTATATTATTAGTGCTGGCTGTTACCACCAGTTTATACAAAAAGACTCCAAGTTTCTCCTATGAAGGAATTTATAAGAGAAGCCTTCCCTACCTACTGAAAGTAACGAGTCATTGCAAATTCAAAAAAAAAAAAAAGATTTTTAACTTTGGATTGATAGTCTCGCGGACACTAGGTGTGAAAGGAAATTGTGCAAAATTAGAAGTATTTATGTCTTTAACGCACTCAACATGAGGCGTTGTATATTTTGGTGGGAAGACTCTTGCGTAATACCTGGTTAATAACATCAATAGATAATTATTAGCAGCAAGCTAACCTCTAAGAAAAAAAAAATGAAATGGGACGGAGATTCGAACGCAAAAAGCGAATTTCTAATTTCCCACGCTAAAGTATAGTAGGTAGTTGTGTGAGTAAAAAAAAAGTTGAGGTTCGCACATTTTGCTTGAAACTGTTTTAATCCTCTTTGGCGGAATAGAGGGAAGGGGTAGTTCTATTCATGTTTGAATGTAGTTAGACTCAAATAAGATTTGTTATCAACGCTGGACCCTCTCCCAAACAATTTGCAACTTATTTAAAAGAAGGATATTCTTTATTGCAGTTGCTGTTCATCATGGTGAAAGCCAGCATCGACGAAAAAGTCAAAAAGAAGGTATATGTTGAACTCCTTTTGTAACTAGGATTGTCTACTCTTTGACGGAAGGCTCTGATGTTGATAAGTGTCTATTTTTATGAAACCATTATTTCACATTGAATTTATGAAAGATCCGACTACAGGAGAGACTAAGCTCTTGATACAAGCTTTGAAATATATATGGCAATTGTCGTACACATTGGTTTCGGTGGACACATAACCTTACTTTGGTTAATGTCAAGATATTTTCAATTTTAAGTTGTTGAAAAAACGTTTGACTGAAATAGAGTACCAGCTTAGTCTCAACATTTTTTTCGCTTTCTGAGTCGAAATATTTTAAAGTTGAGGGGCATCTGCATTGAGGTCTTTTGTGCGCATTCTTTTACTTTCGATTCGTTATTTTCAATTATTCAAATGAATGTCATTCGTTGACTACAAATTTTTTGTACTAAGTACAAGTTTCTGCAGGCCAAGGAGGAGAGACAAAGCCTGAGACTAAAGAGCTAGCTGAGGAAGGTAAATAGAATGATTTTTTTCTTGAACTGTACATTGTGCAACATAAGTTTCCTTTATTTCCGCATATAGTGGAAGTCACCTTTTCTTGAACTTATCTGCCATCTGGGCCAATTTCCTGGCTTACTCACAAAGTGACAGTGACGGCAACTCTATTGCTTTATATACGTCAGTCTTAAGGTCCTTATACTTCATCTTAATTAATAACTTTGCTATCACACAGCTGACAAATCTGTGGAGCAGGTGGAGAGTGAAGAGATTCCAAGGGCAAGTGACAAAGGTAAAGGAGAGGGTAGCTTTAATTGGTCACTCAAGAGGTTAAGGAGGTTATGGAAACATATCTTTCACCTTAGTAGTCGCTGAAAAAAAGAAACAAAAAAAATATTTCATGAAATGCTTCAGTAAAAACAAGATTGAATGGCTGAGTACTAATGTACCTTTTATCAAACACATTGTCTTCTGGAGAAGACGGAAGAGGGCACCAGCTTTGCCTCGTTCATTTTCGGCTCTCTGCGTCAGTCGAGTTAAATTTCAAGGGCATTTACGTGTAGGCGTTGTATACGCACTTATTCAGTATCTGAAGCAACAGAGACAAAAGTGATTGATGAATTGGTGGCAAACGTTGACCTTCGTCAATTGCAATACTTCAAATGAACATCATTTAATAGGTACAATATGTTCTAATTCAATTTCTTCAGAAGGAGAAAAAAAGCTTGACACAGAAGAGCTAACTAAGGAAGGTAAATACAACGATTCATTTTTTTTTAAGAACTATACATTATTTACCATAACTTTCACCTAGTTATTTTTGCATACTATGCAAGCTTTATTATTATTATTATCATAATTATTATCATTTATGTATTTTTTATAAATTTAAAGCTAACTGGGCCAATTTACTGATTTAATAGAAGGGCCATGGGCCGAGTTTACCATCTAGACAACTTTATATATTTATGTACTTTACCTCATTCTAATAAATAACTTTGCTATCACACAGCTGGCAAATCTGAGGAGAAAGTGGAGAGTGAAGAAATTCCAATACCTAGTGATGAAGGTAAAGGAGAGGGAGGGTTTTTTATTTCTCACTCAAGAGGTTAAGGCACCAGATTAGTTATTGAGGCATATCTTTCATCTTGGTAGCCAATGAAAAATGAATGATTCGTAAACATGCTGAAGTAAAGGAAAAAGAAATAAATTGAAAGACTGAGTTCTAATTTACTTTTTGTTCAATTAATCATCTTTTATAAAAGCTCAAAAGGCAGAAGAAGAAGAAGAAGAAGAAAAGAAGCGGCTTGAGCCTGACATGGAGGACACAGAGAAAGGTAGAATTCTTTATAAATCAGCCAACATAGACTCGAAGTGGTCATGAATTAACACATAATCTGTCCACGTTATTGTCTGAGGAAAGTTGAAACGCGGCGGTCCACATCAGAAGTGATTGAATTAAGAGAAAAGAGGAATACTTGAGTACATTGTACTTTGTCACAGTGAACGGTCAAGACCTGACTTGCAATAATGACACTAAATATGGCACCTTTGAATCTTCCAGGGCTCTCTCACTTTTTGTAACATTTCTTAGCTATAAAGATGTTTGCTTAGATGGAGGAAACATAGCTGCCACGTGGTAAAGCTAATTAATTAGAAGCGAGGCTTATGACGTCGTGAACCTCAACTTTTAAAACTCTTTAACACAGACAAGTTAGAATTGTGTTAGCAATAATAAATTCTGATTAAGTGGCTTAATATATATATTTTTCTCTTTTCGTATTCCAAGCAGGGGAAGAAGAGGTTTTTGATACCAGACTTTAGTTCTTGCTTTTCGAACCAAGGTAAATGTTTGTTGTGTCTTCTTCAATAGTGAGTACCACTGACTGAAGGGTGCGGAAAACCTTGTGCACTTTTTGATATCTTATCAAACTTATGAAACTAGTTTCAGATTTGAGATGAAGGGTGAAATTTTCGTACTTTTGCTCTGATGCATTTCCGTGTACATGCATGGGCTGTTGACTCCTGATTTCTTGAACCTTCAGTCTCTAGAACCTTTTCATAATCTGAATAATACTGTCTGGTCAACGGACCAACTGGTGAGCTGGCCACTACGCCGTCAGATTACATTAACTGATTAAGCTGACAGACAGATGGTATAACTATCTGCTTGACTTTCTGCCTGACTGTCTGCCTGACTGTTTCCCTTGCTGTGGGCATGGCAATAAACTGATTCATTTTCTAGCTGCGTGCTAAGTCAGAAGCCTGAACCAGTTGACCGACTGACGGTTGGTTGATCAAGCAAACAAATTATTAATACACACGTTTTGCAATAAATAAATCAATGTGCTTTTACTCCTTCCATTACTAAAGAGACCGTAAGGACTGAAGAAGAGAATTCGAGAATTCAAGAATTCAAGAAGAAATGGAATCCTAGTAATCATTATGTAGTGTCTGTGAAAATATCTTAGTCAAAACAATCCTTTTTGTTTATTTTCCCTTCGATAAAATAATAACATAAGTTAGTTAGCTGAACTATGGATTGCATAACATGCTATTGAACATATTGGGCGCTATCTCTGAATGGGCGTGTGATGGCAGTTCTGTCTTCATTTCCGTTTGATCTTGTCTGTTTTCTTTTTAATGTTTATTTTTTGTTTGTTTATTTTATTTAATTTTTGTGTGTGTATGTGTGTTGACTTTGACAAGTTTAACTACCTGTTAGTGTTTTTCTTTTAGCATATTTCAAAATTGCATGTTTTAGCGATTAATAGCTCATTTCTAGGTTCTTTAATCTAAAAGAAAACAAAGCATTTACTGTTTAACATCTCACATCGTTAATATTTAATAATATCCTGATGATCTAAATAGTTAATTTTATAAAATTTTTTGACTCGTTTACGAAAATTTTATTCAGTAA